ATACAGTGGAAAGTCGCGTATCCGGAATCGGCGGGACTTTCCGAAGTCCGTATATTTGATTTTTCCGTATAATTGACCTCCAAGGTAAACAAAGCTTAAAATGATCTGAATCTAAGAAGCAGAAAATAAATAAACATTATTTTTCGGGCAATAATGTTTTAGTATTAGAATGATATCTAAACAATCATAAATAAAATATTAGAAAAAAAATAATTATTGCTATTCTAAAAATAAATATAGAAAACGAAAAAAATTCCCAGTTATGAAAATATTAATTGCTCTCTCCACCATTTTGAACTAGAACGATTCAAGCAAGAAGGGGAAATTCCCGTCATTCAATAAGGTGGGTAGGTGGAGAAGAAAAATTCATTTCCTCCTTACTTGTCATTCAAGTTGAGGGCGGGGTTGTGACAAATTCTTATTTTCTCTCCCATCATTGGCTATCAATCAAGCATAAGGCGTGGCATGCTGATTGGGTTTTCTTTATTTTTTCTTGTGTGACTAAAGGGGATTCCCCCTCCACTTTAACATTTGCTGTGTTCATCCTTTTTCCCAGTATTTCTTCTTCCCCTGACACTCAAAAAGGTTCCAGGAAATGCCTCTTTTACTAGCCAGCTGCATAGGAAAGAAGGGGGGAGGGGACTCAGTTGTGCTCTTTTGAAAACAAATCTGCCCCCTCCCCCTTCCTGCATTCCAGAGGAGGAGGAGCATGTTCTTAGTAGATCTGTTATTCTTTTCTGTTGATTTATGGGTTCAATGCATAGATCTCTAGAAGCTGAGAAGGCGAAAAACCTGTCAAAAGACTTAAAGGAGAGGGGAAGAGGAAGAAATGTTTGTTTATTTTGATTGTTAAAAAGTGTCCGGGAAATCGACCCTTCCGGAAAAGGGACGTCTGGATATGGGACGTTACACTGTATTACAATTATTAAAAAATTAAACATTCTTTTTTCAATATTTTCTTTAAAAATAAATATATATATAATAACTAAAATAGAATAAATTTTTTTTAGAATTTTGGAATTTTAATAATGTTCATAAAAACCATAGTTTTAAAACATTGCAGAATGGTCGGAACTTGGAAAAAACTATCCATAACTGGTACTTCATCTATATTTTCTAAAAATTATCGAAATATGGATCTTTAAGGTTGCTGATTAAGAATGTAATGCTACCAATTCAAAATGTCCCTATTTAAGTACCACAAATTAAACATGACTTTATTGTTGTTCAATGCATTTACCATTGATATGTAACTAATATACATGCATTATCCGAAATTTGAAGCAACATTATGGAGAGTTACAATAAATACATATATAAAATCTGCATTCTCTTGGACTAGTTTTAAAGAAAATTATTTTAATAAATTAACATATTTATTAGAATATTGTATAAGATTATTAAATTCTTTTATACAAAAAATGTATATTTCAATGATTTTAACTATTTTCTATTACTAAGATGAGATTTCTATTACTAAGATCTTAACACCTTTTTATATGTTCATGTTGAGAAATAAGTGGGTCTCTGTAATAATTCCTTGAACAATGTAGTATACTAATTATTTGCAGAGTTAACATGGAAAAATGATTTTCAAGCTTGTAAATGGTTTTTCATGCAAAAACACATGAAAAATCAATAACAATAGTGAAAGTGCAATTATTTCTGAAGTATCACCTATTAGTAGTGTGTAACAGACTCACAGTTCAAATGCAGAAAACTTCTTTCCACTTTGTAAAGATAATAGAACAATTAAAATATTCTGTTCATGAATTATTTTATATTCTTTATACTTTAGTTTACTAAAAAAATATTAATGCTTAGTACTTATGAGCAATTAAATTTTTTGAGTTTTGGGCAGCTTTTCCAAAATTACGACCTCAGTTTGACACCGTCCCTTTCATGGTAGTTATGCTTAGTTTGGCCTGAATTTTACAATTTTTAAAATTCCTTCTCTTCCCCTCAGAAATGAGAAAATGTTGCCTATAATATTGGAATATAAATGTTGTTTTATATGTTTAGGAGGGGGGTAAATATTAGATATAGAGTATTTTTTCTTCCTTCCTTTAAATTTTATGTATGTTTTGTGTATATAAATGATAGTTTGATATTTATTCATTTAATTAAATAGAAATAACCTTCTATGCATGAAAAAATAATTAACTTCTATTCATAAAAAAAAAGTACAGAAACAATGCAGTAGCGAAAACAATATTTGTTTTTAGTTTTGATTATAATATGTTTAATTTTTTACATAGCTATAAAAATTAAGTTCTATACTACTATACTTTTTAACTTACATTAGAAGAAACTACAGTTATTATTTCTTTGATTTTTCCACTGTGGAAAAAAATTGCTGTCATAGTTTAATTACTGTATTGTGTTTCATACAGCTGTATTTTTGTGACTGTTATAAGCTTTTTAAATGTTAAATCAAGAGACTTCATCTTTACTACTATCTTTTTAGGCATGGATGGGCTGCTTCATTGCAAATGCAAAGACTTCCTCATGTTAAATATATATGCCCCACAGCGTAAGTTAATTTTTAGTTTGTCATTTTTGCATCATTTAAATTATTTTTGAATATCAATATAATTGCATGTTTTGTGTTCTGAATAAAGTATTTTAAGTTTAATTGTTGTTTTACATCACTGATTTTGGCTTAATCCTTTACTTTATTTTTAAATTACTCTGTGTTTATTTTCTAAAACTATTTTAAGAAATATTTCAGTTTCATTAAATGCCTGTTTCATTATATTTTTATTATCATTTCAGTCCTACAATGCCTGTCACTTTAAATTCTGGCTGTAGAATGCCATCGTGGTTTGATTTGAAAACCTTAGATGCTGAGGGTCCTGAAGATGAGGAAGGCATTAAACGAGCTTCAGAAGCAGGTTATTTTCATAATATTTGTTTTTAATCCCTTTGAAGAATATTAAATGACAACACTACACATTTCAATTAATTCATTATAAAAAGATGTTATTTATTACAGATATATATATATATATATATGTGTGTGTGGGGACGGCATGAGTGGTCGTCTTAAATAAAAGACACGTTCTTAAACAAAAACATATATATTGAAGATTAAATTAACATAAGGACGGACGATTAACAATCACACGAGTAACAAAAAATAATAATAAGAGTTCGTCTTTTAATGTTTGGTATAATCATAACTCCTCTTTGGAGTCCATACGTCTTTTTCGGTTCATTGTCAACCCCGCTCTCTCGTCTTAGGGAAATTCCCATTGCTTCCTAGTCGTGCACAGGGATCAGCTTGCGGCTTACATTGACTGGCGGGATTTCTAGCTTAAGGCGACTTCTAACTGACGGTACTGAAAGAAAACACAAATAATTAAGATCAAAAGGAAAAAACTTCTTTGAAANGAGATCGGCTAGGTGTACAGGAGCTGGCACCACATATATATATATATATATATATATATTTCCCTTTTCAAGCAATTTGTAAGATAATTTATGCATAAGTACTAAGGCTTATCAGTGATAATTGTAATGATTAATATTTTTGAAATTGTGTTTCTTCTAGAGTTACTTGATTCTTTTCCTTGTAGGATAACTGCCATTTTTCAATGATACTTCACTATTTGAAAAATCAATTAGCATTGCCTATGCATTATTAGCATTGAATCATGAGTGATTTGTAAATTATAATCAGCTCATGGCTCATTCATAGTCAGTTACCACTCTTAATGTTTGAATTGCATCAAATAGTTTAAGTTTTATTCTCTCATTTTTGAGCGATATTTAACTCCACACAAATTCCAAAATTATAAAAACATATTCTAGAGTGTTTAAATACTCATAAATATTATTACTTGACTGAAATGATTATAAAGTAGGTATTGTGTTTGAAGGTTTAAAATTACCCACTCTTTCAACTAAAATACTTATTTCTTGCTTGTTTTCTCAAAATAAGCTAATGTTCAATTTTCCATCCCAAAAATCATGAACTTGTTATAAAATTGAACTTTATTGTGGTTAAAAGATCTTGTAAAAAAGATCAGAAAAAAGATTGCTTTTAAAATTACGCTTGATCCTGGTTAAGTTTTAAATGTTCAGCATAAAAGAACAGAAGACATTATTGAATAAATGTCTCACTTGATGCTTTCAGGATGCAACTTTCAATCTATTATCTGTCATTCAAATAATGTTTAGTTCCACATAAATTTATAGAAAAAATCAAAATTCTTATGTACTTATTAATGAAAAATGTTTAGGAACTGAAATAGCTAACAAATGTTTACGATGAATGTTAAGAATGTCCTATTGTACAATGATTGTTGGTACTATTTTTGTACGAATCAGATAGTTTTTCAGAATTCTCTTAGGAACTATCATCTGTCTCCTTCCCCCCCCCCTTTGTTAATTCTTTTCTTATGTTGTGTTCATTCTCGCAGTATGTTTATTCCAACAATGCATTCCAAATCAATTTTCAAATTTTATAATTGATTTGGATATTATATACTCAAAGATATTATATGAACTTGATCATGCTTGTGAACATCATTTAAGGATTATAAATTTCTCTTAATAAAATTATAATGCTTTAATGCTATTTTTCTCCTATTTGAAAAATTATTTCGCATAAAAATCACATATGCTGGAGGATATGTCTTCTAGTTCCAATGAAATTGGATCACTACTGTATTATTAAATATTACTCATAATTCTTTATTTTAGAAATACATATCAATAAATAACATGAAGAAAAGAAACTGTTTAAATTTTTAATAATTACATAATGTGTATTTTGTAAAAAAAAATGTGTTTGTGCTTTTGAGCAGTTTGTTAATCTTAATAAATTGCCTAAAATTTTAAGGACAACTTTAAAAATCATTTAAGATAATATTAGCTGGTGCACTTATTAATTTCAGAAAATTTTTAATATTATTAAGGAAAGTCATATATATGGTGCTCAAAATTTTAAAATATGTTAAATTTTATTCTTAAATACAGTAGACGCCGCTTAATGTGATCACATCGGGACGAACGTGATTTGATAACAATAACCGATTGATTACAATAAACGAAAAAAAAATTTAAGCTAAAAAATGATTTTTTTTTTTACATACATATTAAAATTAAAAAAAATTTAAATTAGGAGTAGTTGCTGTAAAACTCTAAAGTATTTAATAGAAATTAATGTACACTAAAGAAAAAGAATTAGTTAGTATACTTGCATATTTAATGATGAACTGCAGAAAACAATACAAAATTCAAAAGGTTAATTATTAACTGAAAAAGAAATCATTAATTGTCGATTGTTTAGCATTCTTTCGAGGCAAGTCATTTACGAATCGCTCATAATCATAATGTTTATGAAAGTGTTCCGCGTCGGCTTTGTTTTGCACACCTAGCCGTAAGATTCGAAGTGCCTCCCTCATCTGAGCAGGCGTCGGAAATTTGTCCTCGATAGCACTTTCGGGTTCATCATCGACATCAGAATCTTGTGACGAAGCTTGATCTTTGACACATACGGCTTCGCAAATGTCCTCATCAGTTAACGAAGTAGAAGTCTCAACCTTCTCGTCGATCTCCATCCATGCTATGCTTCAAAATCCTCAGCATTCATATCGGGCGGAGGATTGAAAACGTCTTCCATTTCTTTCATCACAGCAGCATTGTTGTCCTCTGGTTGACAAAATCCTCCATGACTGAAACAATTTCGAATTATTTTTTCCGAGACATTATTCCATGACATTGTTAGCAAATGTATGGCATCCAAAACATTTGGTTTTTTGGCTAGAGCGTTCGCATTAAGATCTTCAGCGTCTTGGTCTTCCATATTTTCTAAGATCCTTGAACGCATTTCCTTTCTGTAATATGCCTTCAAGGTGCGGATAATTCCCTGGTCACACGGTTGAATTAAAGAAGTGGTGTTTGGTGGTAAGAACACGACATTTATCTTCTCCTAATAACACGTGTTTAAAAGATAATATACGAGCCCCGTTTGGACTTTTGGTAAGTTTCAGGAAACACTTCACAAAACACAAAAAAAAGTTTTCCTTCTTGTTTTTATTGATTTCAGGAAAATAAAATTTACCTATAAACTGATAACAATAAACGAACATTTGATTACAATAAACGATGATTTTTCAATGTATTTTGATATAAGCGGACGGGACTAAGCGATTTTGATAACATTAAACGATTGATAACATTAACCGTGATCACATTAAGCGGCGTCTACTATACATATAAATATGCTAAATTTGCCATACATGTGTTATATATTTAAATTTTCTGATCGATTTAAAAATGGATTTAACATAGTCTGTATTAAAAATTTGCTTAAATATAGTAGGAAAGTTATTATAAAAGTTTTCATTCCTGTATTCTCACTTCTTGTTGTGCAGAATGACTAACAGAATATCCTGCAATTCTATAATTTATCTCATTCAATAACAGAAGTATTCAAACCTTTCTTTCATTCATGGAATTGGATTCCTTTACATTTCATTCATACATTTGGTTCCTTTATACTTTCCTTTTTCTTGTTGCTTCGTTCTTTCCTAACATAAACCTTTCGATTTTCTCCAAAAATGTAAGTTATGCCTGTGAATTTGTTTTTAAACTCTAAAATTTCTTATAGATGTGAAAAACTTTAATAAAATTCAAAATAGAAAGTTGTGACAGAGATGGACATCAAAAAAAAATTGGATCTTTTCTTTTGTAAAGCAAAGTTGGATTAAAAAAAATGAATATAATGATTCTAAATAAAAATGGTTTTAATGAGTTTTTTTTTTTAAAAAAATTGTGCATTTGATCTAAAAAAGCTGGTTTCATAGTTGAATCATTTGTTTGTGTTACGTAATTACTGAGTAGAATTTATATAAAGATGAGATTTAAAAATTTGTTGTGCTTAAATATATATTTTTTTTTCAATTTTTTTTTAGGAGATAATAGTTTAAGAAAAAGTTTATCACACCATTTTGTGTTTATAAACTTCCCACTACTTGTGTTAGGACATGTAATTTCAAAATCCCTCAAAACTCTAAAATAAGATTCAAAACTATCTAACTGCAATGATTTATAAGTAACATTTTTGTTAAATCTCTTTATCAACAATTTACCTTTGGAGTCAAGGGCTGTATTTATCCTGATTTATGGCTTTTTATCCTGATGTTCCTCATTTTAATGTGTGTGTTTAGAATATCTTGTTCACTGAGTGTTACAAAGGAAAAAAAATAGCAATTAGAAATTAGATTATCAAATTTTTATGATGCTGAATTCAGGAATCGTACCTTTAAATATTATTTTCAAGAATGCAGTAACAGATCTTGCAAAGTGGAGTTAAGTACAATTATTGATTCTATTTTTCATCCCATTTGAAAAATGGTCAATTCAAATTACCATTTGAAAAATGGTCAATTCAAATTCCCATTTGAGAAATGGTCAATTCAAATTAATAATGTAACAAACATAAAATTTTTAAAGGGTGATATGTGGGATTATCTCAGATGCCAACTTGCTCTGGACAGCAAATATATATTTTAAAGTGGTTGTTTATCAATTGTGATTCTTGGTTTAATGAATTCAATTTAGTAGATTTTCATCCACCACTATTTCTAAATAATTTGTAGGTTTATATAATTCACCATTTTATAGTACTTATGTCATGCTATTACCTTTTAAAAAGTCAATTATTTGCAAAGTTTACCTTGTAGTTATTTACAGTCTTTTTAAAAAATTATTTTGGCGTGTCTGGAGCAGTTGGCATCTCTGTCACCCACTAAATTACTTTAATTTTTGTACTAAATTGCTTAAGCATAAAAATTTTAATCAGCTTATTCACTGTGTATTAGTTTTGAAATCCTGCTTTAAAATAATTTGATTAAGGAAGATTTGAACTGAATTAAAAATTTTAATGGTGAAATATTAATTAAATGAAAATATTAATTAAAATTAACTAATGGCTATTTTTTAATGCAACATTAGTATTTAAATTCTCTATATATTGGTCTCAAAAAATTATGAGTTTAGTTCTCCATTGATAAAATTATGCTGTTAAGTTTCTGTTCAGGATAAAGTAACTTAAGGACTAAAAATGGTATCTTTTAGTATTCTTTTGCGATAAAATTTGTCTTAAGTAGAGCAAATTGTACTTATTTTAGTTTGTCATTTGCGTTTTTCAAAAATAGTCTTCTGCATGTGTACTGTATCAAAAAAAAATTTTTTTTTTCATGGTCCACTCTGACTATCTGGCCTATGTACAACTCTGTTGTATTTTGTGTAAAACAAATATTTATATAATCATACTTACAATTTTCTTGAATGCAGTATTTCAGATGATAGCAGATGAAGAAGAAAAAGGCATACCATCTGACAGAATTGTTCTTGGAGGTTTCTCTCAAGGAGGAGCGTTAGCTTTATATTCAGCATTACGTTGTGCTAAACCTTTAGCAGGAGTTGTAGCATTAAGTTGCTGGTTACCTTTATATAAACAATTTCCTTATGTAAGACATTTGATATTTATATTTCATGCTATAATTAATTTATAAATCTTTAAGTGTCAAGTAATAAATTAAGTGTAAATAAGTAGCTGAATGATTAAGACAAAATTATTGCAAAGCTCTTTGGCAAACTATCAGTGCTGTTGCCTTTTGTCTACCATATGTTTATAAATGTTGTTTTTCAATCAACTGAGGAAATAGAAGTCACTCAAAGAAAGTGTATTTTGATATAATTATATAACTGAGTAGTTGCATTGTGTCTTTGGGCTTTCATGCAGGGTTCACATAGCCTTGGAAAATCCTCACATTTGCTTTCTAATTCTCAAAGCTCCTAGAAGCAGTTGAAAGTAGTCCAGAGTGATGTTCTTCTATGAATCCAGTTTCAAATCTTGGAGAATTGTAGAAGCCGAGAAATCTAGAATTGAAAACGCTGACAGTTAAAGCTTGAAGGGGGGGGAAACTGAAAATGTAAGACTGAGTTATTCAATTTTACTTTTTCCATAACTGCCCTGCACTTGGTCGATTTCAGTCAAAGGTTGAATGCCAGGCTTTATGTTTATCAAATTCAAGCATAAGTCTCCTTTGAAACAATGTCCTATCTATTTCTTTGTTTTGTGATAAGCAGGATGTCAGAACTATACTCTTTTTATACTTTATATGTTGCCGAGATTGAGTTAGGAAGCAGTTCAGTTTTTCCATAATTAAGGATAAATGTTCATAAGCTGTGCCCAAGCTAACTCATAACCGTACAGCTTAAAGACTACTTTTGCATCACTGTTATATTTGAAATATATAAACTCTATCTGTAATGAGTCTGGTCAAGTCTTCAAATCTTGATTCCATATCAATTTTTAAAAGGTGATCAGTAAAAATTAGGATTTTGTCTTTAAGAATTTCATATACCATTTAACACTTTGTAAGAGTCGAAAGCTGAGTCGTCTCTTTCAAGCCAATGTTAACCTTGTGAACATCAATATGATGAATAATGAAATAATTCCTTTGCCCTTGAGAAAGTTCATCTTTTTTCCTTGAAGCTTTTGTTGATTTTTAATTTTTTTTAAAAATATCCATGAAATACATAATTTCCAGGGATGAAAGACTTCCGCAAAAAAGCGGAAATCCGCTTTTTTCTGCCAATTTTTAAAATTTCCACCTATGTTCCAAAAACTTAAATTTTTTAGGAGTCCAATAAGAGATACCCAAGCAACCCGAATGGGTGGAATTTCGGCAGGTGTGCCGTTGCCTTGACAACCGTGACTTCCGCTATAGATTGGAAAAAGTGTTCTAAGCAGTTTCGTTTTGGCCGCTGATATTTGATTTCTTTTGTTTGACTGATTTTTTGAATTTTAAATATTAGGAACTGTGCCGGAATCTGCTAAAAATGCGATTCTTATTCAAATGATTTTTATGTAAATCATCGATTTTAGTATTTAACGGATTTAAAAGTTACTTGTTTCGTTTTTACGCGATTTAAAAATTTTACTCGCAATTCCCATTCACATATTTTTACATTTCAATATTGCGAATCGTTATCACGCGGTTGTATGATCGAACATCGATTTTCGTATTTATACGAGATTTCAAAATTACTCGTTGCGATAAGTATTCACGAGATCTAAAAATTATGGATCGTGATTCTTATTTATGCGATTTAAAAATTCAATATCGCAATTTATATTTTTGTGCTTTTAAAATCCAATATCGTGATTCATATTCACGCAATTTTAAAATCTAGCATCGCGATTCTTATTCATTCGTTTTTAAAATTGAACATCGCGATTATTATTTACGCGATTTTAAAATCCAACATCGCGATTCTTATTCACGAGATTTTAAAATTCAATGCCACGATTTTAAAATCCAATACCTCAATTCATATTCACGCAATTTTAAAGAGAAGTTAGCAGCTATGAGTAATATGAATGTATTTTAACGATGGTAGTCAATTTAGAAGGCGAACACAAAGTGGGTACCATCGATGCTACCGAAAAAAATAAATTCAAGTTTGATTGGTCAAAGTGACTAAAATTGTTAGTAACAATCTATCTGAAGATATTAAGGTGAAATTTGGCTACTGTTTAAATTTAAAATGATAATTAAGCTGCAACTTCCTATAATTGCATAGCTGCCAACCCTTCCGCATTTTTACTTATTTTAGCTATTTTTTTCACGCAGAAAAAATTTTCCTCATTTTGCCCGTCCGTCCGATAGCTAGTATTTTCTTTAAATCAGACGTCGATGCTCCTCTAGTAATGACCTTAGAAAGCCCGCTTGTGGTGATCCTCCCTTTCCTTCCATTTACATACCCTCCAACTTATGAGGATTTTGAAAATAATTCTTTCTAGTGGTAGCGAACCAAAGTAGAAATTTTTAAAGCAAATGGATCTCTGATAAAACTTTTATCAGAACTTAAGAATCTAGCCATATGGCCTGCACTTTTATAAGTAATAGTGGACAAGTTACGCTAAAAGTAATTTTTTTTAAATATTAAGACATTAATTTTGCTACTGTCTGAAAAGAAGATTTCTGAAACTACGGAAATTCCGTAGCAGTTGGAGGATATGCATTTACGTCACATCGTTCAGTGTGACGTAATGGATTTCTCCTCTCTTCTACCAATGAGAGAAGGAATTCAGCTTATGTTGCGAGAGCGCTTCCCGTTATCACGTGACTTGTTTATCAAAACAGCAATTGGTTTATGGCAATATTTATTTGCTCATTAGATTGATCTTGTTAATTTATCATGACTGAACGAAAACATTACAAACAAGCCTTTAAGGAGTCCTATTCTCTTGACTTTCCATTTATTTCTAGATAGAATCTTGGAATACATGATGTACGCTGCAATGTATGTAAAAATGACTAGCATAGTGCATGGTGGTAAAAAATTTATTAGTAATTAGTATGCAGTTGCAAATCATCTGCATTTTTAGGCATTTCTTCTACATTTTTTTTTGGTCTATCTTCTGCATTTATGTAACTAGAGGTTGGCAGCTATGTAATTGCTTAATTTTCATTAATATAGTAGTGATCAAAATTTTAAAATTATATTTTTAAAAAAATTTTAATTTCACTGTCTAAATGTTTCTGTCACTTAAATAAAAATGTCCCGGTAGAGTTGAAAGTTGCTTTTAGATCTATCTCCTCGATATCACAGTATTATATAGAACACTCCCCCCTTCTCCTGCATTGTAAAAGTTCAGCTTTTTTTTTTATTTTCGACCACTTTCATGCCTGAATTTCTAACTTGTATTGCTTCAAACCTTCACCTAACGCTTTATCAGTTGTGTCTAGAAACTCAGTACTGTGTCAAATAATTTGAAGAAACTGCACAGACAGTTTCTTTTAAAAGCCATCTCCTAGTTGTCTGTAGAAGTAAGCGTTTAAATTCCTTATCTTTTTCATGACTGTTGATACCATGAATAATGAACTGTAGAATTTCATGCAGAACACAATTTTTTTTTTGTGTCAAGTGTTCACAATAAATGACAACAGGAATAGTGACCTTTTACATTGTTAATGTGTGCAAGCAAACCTCATCTGTTGCACAAGCACTTACAGTTGTTAGGGGAATTTCTTTTTCCTCAAAATAATCTTTCACTGCTTTAAAAATTGATCCCTTTGTATCAGTGATCAATGTTCTAGCTAGCAACATTTCCTTGGTGATCTCAAGCTCATTGGTAAACCTTATTTATACAATAGCTTTTTTATCTGTCACAGTTGTTTCATTAATTTGCTACGCAAATTGAAATTCAATGTTTCGACTTTATTAAAATGTGAGTTTGGATTCAATACCTCCGGCCATATTATAGATTTGCCTTTAAACAGTTTTGATTCTCAGGAGAACTGATTGACTTATCTTATCACTTAACCCCTCACCTAACATAAATTAAACTGTCATTTTGGTGGCAAATAAAACAAGTTGAGCCAATTGTGTGAGGTTTACCACATTTATTAACCAATAGACATCTCGTAAGAAGCAAGATCTTTGCTAAGATCAGTTGCTCGACTTTAAAATAATTCATTCAAATAGAGCTGTTTATCAATTTTAATTATGAAAATAGTAAATGTTTTATTGCTTAAAATATAATAGGAAAGCTGCTCATTTTGTGGTGATGCAATAAAACTGAATTTCGAATACTCCACTAGATGAAAGCCGCAGTGCTGTTTAGTGATGAATGTATCAAACTTATTTATCAATCAGTTTCTCCTATGAGGAGACTTTAAATTGGCAGAGGACTCGAAAGAAATGCTTGAAGAGAAGTAGTGGTAGAAGAGCTGAATGGGTCTTGACCTTCAAGAATAGACTTCTATTCTTGGAGGTCATGTCTAGACCTGTGTCAGCCTGCATTACTTAGGGTATGACAAGGATGCTTCTGAACTTTAATTTGTTTCTTTTTTTAACTCTTGATTCTTTGTCTGAATCAGAATGAGCGGTTTCATATGTGTTTTCAATTTCGATATTTGCTAAATTTTTATTTTCAACTTTTTCATTTTAAATTCTCATCCCCTCTTTTGAGCGATCGCCCGAGGTGGGGAACTACTAGGCTAAACCGTGTGTTATCTTGTGAAATAAATAATGAAAGTTTCTGAGAAAGCTGTTCTTGTCATTTAGGTGATATCGTCTATTTTGTATTGCAGTTGAAAACTGATTTTTAAGCACTGTAATATTTTTGGGAAATTTTACTGTAACCACCTATTTTCGTCACAATTTACAGTCCAAACTCTTAGCAGATTTTAGAGAGTACTGTAATTCAATACAGACCATATCATGTCATATTTTTGAAAAATTTTGCCCCATTATTAGAATATCATTCATTACCTTCTATCTAGCTCTTTATTTATGTTGTGAAAGCTCTTAGGAAATTAAATTCTCCATTCAACTAATGAGTTATCAGTTTATATATATTAAATTAAAAACTTGTACAGTTATAGTTGTGTTGTTTCTGATAAAAATTATTATTTTAGGCGGCTGTAGGTAATAGAGAGATCTCCCTTTTACAATGCCATGGCGAACTGGATATAGTTGTTCCATTCAAATGGGGTAGGATGACTCATGAACTTCTAAAAACGTTTATGCTCAATGTGGAGTTTAAAACTTATAAAGGTTTATGTCACAGTTCCTGCGAGGAGGTATGTTTATTTTATTTTTTTTATTGTCTAGTTTTATAACTATTTTGCTAAGATTAGTTTCCTTCTGTAACTACACTACTGGCCATTAAAATTGCTAAAAACCAGGAAGGCGACACACCCATCGTGAAATTTGCAGGATGGATGAAGCATGTAGTGGTCTGCAAATATTTAGCTTATCAGCGCATTCATGCAAAGCAGGTGGTGGTAGTGACACCTACAATGTGAATAAAAGAAGATATTTGACAGTAAGTTTCTCATATAGAAATTGAATTTGAGCGCTGTTCTTTTGTAAAAAAGTTTTTGTTATGCCTTGTGTAAGGAGAACTGTCTACTAGCACATGTCTGAGTTTGATCGAGATCGAATTGTAACCTACCAGGATTGCCGGTTATCATACCGCAGTATTGCTGCTCGCATTGGTTAAGATCCGATGACTGTTAGCAGAATATGGAATTGATGGGTTCATGACGGTCATGTGGAATGCCGTGCAGAATCTCAGCGGCCCCCTATCAATAACAGCCGAGAAGACAGATATGTCATCCACATGGCCTTAACCCCTTAACTGCCGAGTAAAATCTACGTGATTTACTCCCCAGTGCCACCGTTTTTCGCTCAAGTGCACCTTCTTACGCGGTGTTTTGGTGGGGTAAAATGATGCACGCTTTGCAATTTAAAAACAGTTTACTTTTACAAGACAAGAAAAAGGAAAGAAAGAAAATACAAAATTTAAATTAAATAATAAAAATACAATATAAAAGATGTTAAAACTTAGCTGTTGTATGATAAATCCTGAAACATGGTTGGACACATAAACCAACATCACATTCATCGCACTGATAGCGGGATTCACGACGAATTTTTTTTCTTGAACAAACAGCACATTTTCGCGATGCATTTTTCTTTGAAGACGTTGATGGAAAGAATAAAAAGCACCAAATACATACGGAAATCAAAAGCGAAAAAAGAATAAACCCGACCTTACTCAAATAAATACACACAAGCGATTAATATGATATCACTTTTCCATAACATCCTTTTCCCATTCCGAAATTAGTAATGCATTCGCAAAGCAAACACTTTCCAAGGCCATTTTACTGCATTCTGAAGTAGGGGGTGTAGTTATATTTATAGCAGCGCAATGCAAAGCATCGTACTTCAGGAAAGCGTATATATATACGCCTGCGGCAGTTAACGCATCGTCTGGCCGAGACGTATATATACGCCCGCGGCAGTTAAGGGGTCCTACAGCTACATCATGGACTCTGAGTCAACAAATGGGGTCGTTTGTAAGACAACAAGTGTCTGCACGTACAGTTCGACAACGTTTGCAGCAGCATGGACTATCAGCACAGCGACCGGGGCTTTGATTACACTTGATGCTACGTCACAGGCAGGAGCGCCTCCAATGGTGTGATCAACGACGAACGTGGACGCAGGAATGGCATGACATCGTCTTTTCAGACAAATCCAGGTTCTGTATACAGATGATGGCTGCATCCATGTTTGGCGACATTGTAGAGAACGTCCATTGGCAGCTTCCATTCGACATCATTATACTGGCCCATCACCTAAAGTAATTGTATGGGGTGCCATTGTATACACATGCCGGCACTTTTAAGAGCAGCCGTTACATTTTGGATCTGTTGGGGCCAGTTGCTCTGCCTTATCTTCGAGAACATAACACTGTGTTTCAGCAAGATAATGCACGACTGCGTTGCCCGCACCTGATCTTCCTTGACACACATGTTCGTCTGTTGCCCTGGCCAGTACATTCTCCTGATCTCTCACCAACTGAAAACGTCTGGTCAATAGTTGCCAAAGGACTGGCATGCCACCACATGATTTGTGACACGATGCTGAAACTGCATGGAATGCTGTACCCGTCCATGCTATCCAATCTCTGTTCGACTCGATGCCCAAAGAAGTAAGTGCTGATATTGCTGCCAGGGGAGGCTGCTCTGTGTACTGATTCCTCGGGATCTATACATCCAAATATCCTGAAAATTTAATCACTTGTTTTTCCAACAATAATGCATGTACCCAATAAATATCATTCTGTTATTTGCATTCCTTCCTGTTGTAGCAATTTTAATGACCAGTATGTCTTTTAGGTAAAGTATTTTCCATAACATCTTATTGTAGAAACGCAATTATCTTAAAAGTTCATGAGTTATTTTCATATTAATTAGTAAAGAAAAATTTTAAGCTGTCTTACTTACTTGAAGGAATATTTTAATTATATCTTGGTATTCAATACCTATTTTCTATGAAATGTTGTGAATGGAAAAGTGTATGTGTTGCTTTATCAACCCTTATGACTAAAATTATGAGAAATATATATATATTTTTTAAATGTATTGTCTTGATCTTCAGACTAACTAAGCAACATGCTTGCATAAACAAAGTATTAAACAAACTGTGTCTTGGTAAAGTCCTTATGTAATGTTTAATCTACAATTTTTATGCACTATTTGATTAAATCCTATTTAACATTGATTATATATTACGAGTCTTCTACACTTGTATACCATTTGTATATTAATTTTAAATTATTTTTTCCGAGCATATGTTTTTTAAATGACGCTTTTAATTTAGCACCGAAAGCGTGTTTTTTGTGCGTGGAATTGGTTTCCCAATTGTGCAACTGCTTCTGCAGAACCAATGCACTGAAACATAGCGAGATCATCCTTAGGCAGGTAAACGCCATACTGTTATTGTTTATGTGGGCGGTGCTGAAGCGTTTTTTGCATAGAAGTTTTGGTCGAATATGAAACTTAACTTCGTGTTATGATTGCTTTTGTTTAGATTGGGTGGATGGCGAGTAATACTTTTAAATTCAATTTTAATTGTTCATTTTGAATATTTTTTTCACTTATGACAAAAGTTATGACTGAGAACAAAAAGACTTACAGCCATCTCATCGTATTTCTCATCATGTTAAATCTATTAAGCATGTGAAATGTGCAGAATCAGTCAACACAAGCTCAAAATCAAATAGATATCTTAAAAGAGATGATGTGGATGTAATTAATGCTGAAATGATATTTGCATCATTTCTCATAGAACATAATTAATGCCGAAGGTAAGAATAGAATCTGCAAAATTTTCTAATATTCAGTTGTTGTTTTTTAATTTATTTCCATCACTAATCAAATCTGAAGATACAGCAGTTGATGAACTTTAAAATAAATTTTGTTTGCTTGAAGTGGAGAATATTTCTAAAACTTTAAATACTGACAAGTGTATTGATGCACAATGGGTTGATGTTATGCATATCAGAAGAGCAAATATGCACTTAAAATATAAACATCTCTCCAAGATTATGCTATCGATTTTAGTTATTCCACATAGTAACGCTTGGTTGCGGAATGTGACAGTCAGTGAAGAAGTTGAACAAAATTCTTTCTGTAAATATAAGGATGATGCAATTAATACTAATAATATCATTATAATGGGCAGGAAGAATAGCTAGAGCAACCTTGAGCATCATCTAAATAGGTGTAGATACATAAAATTAGTGTTAAAGCATAGAATAAAAGCTACATTTTATGAGAAATTTGATTAAAGACACTAATTGCAATGTGAAATTTTGCTAGCACTGTCATAAAAATTGTTAAAATTAGATTATTATTTGCCAAAGCTCAAAATGTCACATATGCACAGAGGGGGTTAAAAAACACCAAATAGATGCTTATGTAAAATTTGAACACCCTTAATGTGCAGCCTGTTAAATTTATAATTTTGTGTTAAATTTATAATTCTTCTGTGTAAGTTTATTTTCTTGATTTCTTGCAGGAAATGGAAGATGTTAAAGCTTTCTTGGGAAGAGTTTTGCCATGATTCTCTTTAGAGAAATATAGGTCATTTCTCATCTCATTCAGAAATCATTTTTCAATAGCCTATCAATTTCTCTTTATTGTCAGGTCTTTTCACGATGATATAAAATTTATGTTTATTCTCTAGCTGGTCAAATAATAATTCAGAGTTTAATTACATTAATTATAGAAACATATACCGCTTTGTTGAATTAAAGCAGTTATGTTTTTCTGTGTAAAAATATGGTATATTTTATGCGAGTACTATTGAGATATAAATATTGTAATGTAGCTCCTGTATGAATGAAAATATATTTTATATCCCTCACCCACATATATATATATAATATTTTTGAGAAAAATTAGATTAAAATTTTTATTGTGTTTTTTCTTAAAGATTTGCATTTAACTCTATCCTTTCACATTACAATCAAGCTGCATATATTTGATATTTATTTTGAAATAATTTATAGATTTATAAACAGAGCTTCTTAGGTACCCTGTATTAATTTCTGCTAATATATTTTTATTTAAAGCACTGGCAAGTACCCAAGTTTTAATATGTAGCGATTTTTACTGGCCATTATTGTGTTTATAATTATAAAAAAAATTATTTATTTTGAGAAGAGTGAATAACTTACATTGAATTGTAAAACATTCTTTTTAACTTATCTAACAGTTTTTATTTGTTATTTACGAACGACTAGGCATTTTTAAGTGTTGTAATTAAATCCTGCTTTTAATATCCCTTTTGATATACTTTTTTCACATATTAATTGAAAAACTAATTTTCAATGAGCAAAAACAAAAAAAATCTTAAACTGTTTTGTGTGCCTAATATTAATGCTGCGTCATCATAGAGATATTTGAACTTTCTCTGTTAGTTCTAAAAATAATGCATTTTTTAACATATTTCTTTAGTATTTCAAGCGAAATTTTTTTGAGAATGTGTTAGTATTGTTTATTATTTAGGCTGTGTGAGATTAATGTGAAAGTTGAGATTTTTGCTGTTAAAGTTATTCTGCATCATTTTTATTTTCAGAATTGTAGATTTATGTATTTCTGCAGTTTTGTTATTTCATAATTTATTGCAATTACTGAAAGGAGTGAATTAAGTTTATAACATATAAAGATAAATGGGAAGAACTGTTTTTGATGCTTGGATCACCAACTGTTGCATTTTCAGGATTACTAAATTTTGACAAATTAATAACATCAGTTCTGCTATGGAAAGACTGTTCCTTTCGCTTATGTTTTTTGTAGGCATGAACTTTATCCCTTGATCTTTAAATATTAATATTTAAGTTAAAATGAAATGAAGATAGATTCTACTAGATCTTCTTTATTACTTAAATCTAGTATATCCTTCAAGCAGAGTTTTTTATTCACAGTTATGTAGATGTTATTAATTCTTTTGAATGATATTTAAATAAAAAAGACTGAAATATTTTACTTTATGATGAACCAGAATCCTCTTACTTTTCTTTGTAATTTTTTTTTTTTTTTGTGCGAACATTGAACTAAAGTGTTTTATCTGTAACAGTTTCTCTTTTAAAACAATCAAGTGATATTCTTGATCGGGGGAAGAAAAAAAACCGCTAATTTTAATGGAAAATCACCAGCTTATATATTTTTAAATCATTTAGGTGTAATAAATTTAAATGAACTAAAAGAGCAAAATTTTTATTGATATTTATCCTCAGAGCACATCGCCCAGCCATGTCCAATCCCTGTTTTTCAGAACTATTTTTTAATGGCCATGTAATTTTGATTTAGGTCAAAAGACATGGACAGTGCCTGAGCTGGTAGTCAGCATACAGGATTAATTTGCTCAGTTTTCTGGTATAATACATTGGTTTATTCAAGAATTTTAAGTATGTGTGTTATGTAAATCTATATACAACTTGTTACAAATTTATTAACTTTTAAGAGTGCAATTTTTTAAAATTAAACTGCAATATTTTATCAAAGAATTTTTTTTCTTCTTTAGTGCGACATAGTTTTATTTAATACTTTTAAAATACAGTTGCAAGCAATGTTAAAAAATGAAAATAGTATTAGTATAATTTTTATAAAAACCTTTCAGTGTCACATTAGTACTACTTCATCAGTAAATAGTAGAGATTACATCAAGAAATAAATATACAGGTAAAAATATTAATTCAGGAGTGCTTTGTGATAATTTAACAGTAGAACAAACTTTTGATTATTTAATATGTCCTGTGTATTAGTTCACAATAAGAATTTTTGTACATTTATTGTAAAAATCTACTGGGAAAAGGGATTACAAAGCTGGAGGGGCTCCCCAGTTTTTTAAATTCCCCATTTGTCGAATGCTTCAACAATTGGGGAATTTATAAATACAAAAATTTTTGTCAGTGTGGACTTTTGTACATAGGGCACACAAATATAGTCCCAAGGAACATCAAAGCTACATCTAGAACTCCACCGTTTATCATAGCAAAACAATTTTAAAAGGGCCATAAGTTCTATTTTTCCTCACCTCATATTATTTATAAATGTATTTTATGAATTTACCTTGATTTCAAGGTTAGTTTCTATACCATTGAAACCTAAAACTGTTTTCTGAATGATCTTGTTATAAAATATTTGGAAGTCATTAATATGATTCTTTAACTCTTACTGTTCATTTAATTTTACTTTTAACTGTATATTTAGTGTGATGTAACATATGTTGAATTATATCATCCTTGCAGCTTTATCTTACTGATGAAGTAGTACCAAAGCATGTATAGGTTTTAATAAAAATTATACTATTCGTTTTTTTTTAATGAAATTTAATTTTATTATTAAGGATTACTTTCATTTTATACAAGTAATCCAGTTGGATAAAATGAGATTATGTGTAAGCTTATATATTATTATAGTGACACTAATCAAACAATGCTATCAGTCATTAAAGATGTTTGTCTTATATTTGTAAAAAATAAAGGTGTTGGCTGTCACATTAGCTATTACTTGGATTATTGTCACTGCTTTAAATTTGATTTGATAACATGTAAATTATTATTTTGCTTCAATAAAACTTTTTGTGAAAATGTTGTTGCTTTTAATATTATGAGTCTTAAGGTCTTTTACTTAGTTTCAACTTTTAGATTTGTTAAGATCCTCTGCTATAAAAGTAAATTTACTTTTATTAGTGTGCAAATAAATCTTTTACTGTGAAATCACTTAGAAAGGGTATAATTAAGCTTGATTTGAAATTAATTACTGATCTGCTAAATGGTTACATTTTTGTGTCCTAGATTATTTGCATCACTTATTAATTATGAAATGTATTTCACAAAACTCAAAAAATTAGTTAATGAAACTTTAATTCCACCTCTTTAAAGAAAAAAAAGTCACTTGACTATCTTAACTTATTTGTAACAATATATTTGCTCTTAAGAAATTTCTTGCAACTATACTTTTTATTTTCTCAACAACAAAAAATTGAAATTAAATACCTCTTGGTGAATTTTTATATACGTAGCATACCTATGGCAAGAACACTTGTCAGTATTGCCAGTAGGAGTGATAATATGTAATAAATATTTTACAGTTTTGGGGGAAAAAAAAGTTGGTTTAATAAATTTCAAATAAATATGTTTTACAAAAGCTATGTTATCAGATTTGTAAAATTAAGCGTCTTCCATCAGAATTTTAAAATTAACTGCTACAGTAACAGCTTTTTCTCTCAGAGCAAAAGTTTTAAAAAACGTTATCTAAATGGTTGATTTGTTTGTATTAATTATTAAGAACTCAAAAATCTTCATGTTTTATACATAATAAGCAAGTAGGTTGCAGTTAAAAGCTTATTAATAACGAACAGTAATTTTAAATTATATAGCTTCATTGGGATTTAAGGTGAAAAAGGTTTGTTAAATACTCCAAAATTGTGGTTATTGAAAAGAAATTTGTTTCATTTTAAGAACTGTTGCATAGTAAAATAAGAATTTTTTTTTTTTTAAAAAAAGAGCTATATTACCATAGATCACTCAACATTCCATCAAAATCTGTTATTTATTATAAGAGTACTGAGAAAAAAAAATCTGTTAATGGACAGAGGGCCAATTGCAATTTAAATGTTTAAAACTCTTGTTTTAAACCTATTCAAAGTTAGATGTTTGAGTAAAATTTACACATTACTTAATTTTTCCCTGGCATTTCTAGTAATAATGATAAAACAGCATTATTGAACGAAATAGGTATTTTTAAATTCTGAATATTGAGCAACTTATTAATAAAGCTTTTTTTTTTCCTCAGTCATTCCCTACATTTTTAATATATTAGTAAATATGAAGCAAATAAATGTAAATTTATTAAAATGAGAGGGGGAAAAAACCTCAGTGTCTCATTTATGAATGACAAGTTTTATTTTTTTTAAATTAATATTTTGACTAGAAACATACTTTAAAATGCTTATGATTTTTAGCCCATATATTTAGCTTTGAAATTTTTGAGTACTTTATCAAATTTTTAAAATTCAACAAAATTAATCGTTGATTTTAATATAAAAATTCCTAAGCTAATTTATCTCTTTCTGTGCACTTTTAGTTACAGGGAAAACTGGCAATTTTCAAGCTTTTGCTATATCTGCTGTGGCTCAGTCTTAAAAATAAGGAGTGTCATAAAGTGATTAATTTTGCCCCATAAAAGAACAGGATTACTGATGCTACTTATTTTGAAACAATGCAAATCTATCATTGCCTTGATGTGCTTAATAGAATTGTATAGCTCAGTTTGTTAATGATAACTAAAGATGTTTTTACTCAGTGTCTTGGTATGTTTTATTTCGTTAAGAAATATATTAAAGTAAGAAAAACATGTTCAAATAATTTTTATTTTTGGCTCATAATTTTAAACTTTCACTGTTGAATAAAACTAAACATACCACGAAACTTTGAATAATTAATTTACTTCTACTTATAATTTGCAGTGTACAAATTCAAAAAATAAAAATATTTACTCTAACATTTCTAATGGGAGCTTTTTTTTTTTTACAAATTTTTTTTTTTTCTTAAGGATAGATTTGAAAACTTTCTAGTATATTTTGATTATATTTTCCTATAATATTTAAAAATTGTTCTTAAATCCGGATTAAAAGATTTTTCCTAGAATTAATTTTCCTACATCAGAGTTTTCCTAAAATTATAAAAATACACATCTCTTACAATGTAATTTTTATAAATTTTTCAATTTAAAAATGACAAAATATTGAAAAAATTTTTTATTACTTTTTAAGTAATGTTTTTAGTGTGATTCTGTTTAATGAAATAGTAAATAAAAAAAACTACTTTCATCATTTTAATAATTCATTTAAACAAAACCATAATTAAATTTTATTATGTTTTTCATTACAATACTAGACATACCAAAATTTTCCATATCTCTTCCTTTCCTAGAACTTGGCTTTTAAGAAATTAAGTGAGACTAAAAATCTTTTAATTTTCAGATTTGTACTTTTTGCATATTCATGTTTGCAACAGTCAAAGTCAACTTGTTGATAAAAAAAGTGAAATTCATAACAAGATGTTATTTAATTAAATTTAGATGTTATTTAATTAAATTTACAAGAGTAACCTACATCTGAATATAAGTGCAATAATTTATAATTATTGAGCAAATATAAATTTTTAATCTTTTGTTTATTACAATCATAAGTATGGTATTAAATTATTGCCTCAATATTTATTAAATTATTGCCTATATATATTAAATTATTGCCTCAAAATTAACACATTTGTTAATATGCATAGTAATATATGCACTATTGCATTACTATACATATGAAATTATTGCCTCAAAATTAACACTAGTTAACAAAAAGTTATCGATTTAAAGAAATCTGCTTTTCATTTTACACATTTTTGTTTAAAATAAATTATAATATAATATCAAAGCACTTAGTATGACTATATGCAAACAAAGATTATAAAGTAACAAATTTATGTTACTCAAAGAAGTTAATTGCTCAAAAGAATACTATAAACAGAAAATAAATTTAAGTATACAAAAAAAACTTTATTACAAGCTTAAGAAATTTATTACTTTGAAAGTAAAAATTTTACAACCTTGAAAATCATGAAAATAAAAATTATTACAAATTTATTCAGTAATTTACTAATAGTAAAATGTTATATCAGCCAATAAGTTTCAAGCAATATATCAAAAATGTTTTATCTGATTTAAAAATTATCACCACCATAATAACTAGTTTAGAGAAAAATAATCAAATTCAGTAATCAAATACCGCAAAAAACAACAATCACTTCTTGTAAATGATATGCAACAAATTTTAAAATTACTTAAGAAAGCTTGTTAAGAGAAGCTTATTCTTCAAAAATTAAATTTGATTGGAAAGAAAATTATTCAGTTGCATAATTCTATTTCAGTCCAAATAACTGAATCCTTCTAAAGTGATAAATGAGTAAATTTTATTTTTTAAGCAACTCTTAAACTTGATTTGAACTTAAATCTAAGAAAATTGTTATGGGTGAAAAATACTAGTTTATAAAATTACATCATATAATTTAATGATGTAAATTAAATAAAGAATTAACAAAAGTTAGAAACATAACAGTATTTGTTTTATTAGAAATTCCTATGAGTTTCCTAGCAATTCTTTAACTTGAATTAGACTAATCTAAAATATCTCAGATTTATAAAATCATATGATAATCATTAATGAATCATATGATGAATCATTAAATAAATATTGCTACACGAATTTCTAAAGGAGAAAAACAAAACCTTAAGATATATTTTATAAAAATAATATTTTTAACATAGAATATTTGACTAAATATTGTATAAACAATGTGAAACGTAAGCATAACAAAACATGTAATAGTTCAAACAATCATAGATTAATTAATATAAAGTATATATATATTTAAATAAAAAATATGAAATTAAACATATAAAGTAATATATTCCTACTACTCATCTTCTGAGTCAGTTTCTATCAAGGCTTCTATACTAGGTACTGACATGACCATATCTCTAGTAGGACTTCCTCCATAATATTTCCGAATTCTGCTAGTTTTTACTCCCTGTCGCCTGATGGTTTTAAGTTTCTTGTTTTTAGACACTTCATGACCTTTAAAAAGTTGCTTATCTTTATTTACCATCGTTGAATTCCCCAAGGGCTCACTTTCATTGAAAAAATATTCATTCCCGAAATCATTTTCAATTCCATTTATATCATCAAAATCAGATATTTGGTTTTGGTCTGAGTCTATAAAAGGATAATTACAACGTACATATTTCGAATTGCTTGCCGTAGGTGTTTGCATATTTGCGCCTTTATCATTTGAGATATTCTTTTGTTCAACGGCTAACTTACCCAAAATATTAATCAAGTTTATGCGGCGACTGTCTGTCGATTTTCCTAGGATTGGCTTCAATTTTTCATACTTTGAAAAGCTTTCATGTAAGCCTTCCAAAACTTTATTTTCCATTAACTCTTCTAAATTGCATTTGAAATCAGACATTCGTAATTTCTTTTCAAACTCGCCTTTACTTTTATCGAAAGTTCGTAAAGCTGGTCCTAATAAAGTTGGGAAAGCAACCAATTCAAACGTATTTTTAAATAAATAATCCAAAACGTAATGTAACGAATATAACTTATCTGCTACAGCTTTATCAAGCAAACGTTTCAATATTTCCACCTTGCTCAACTCCATTCGAATTGGTATAGGAGGATTCAAAATTTGATTCCGATAGAGAGCATATAGTAAAAATACACCACCTATTTGATGCCAAAATGAATCAGATTTTAAAAATCCTGAAGACAAAGTGAAAACTTCATTTGTGAACTCACCCAGTTCCTTTGAAGTTTCTCGTCCCATATAGATGAAAGCAAAGTTTCTTTTCTTCCATATGTCTGCAAAAACTTTAAATTCAGCGCTTTCTTTAAGAGCAAATTCATTCAAAAGTAAACCAGCATCACTTTCGAATCCTTCAGCAATATATTTCTGTGCCATGTTACAAAACTGCTCAAGGCGACGAACACGTTGTTTTCTTTCTCCAAGAATGTAAACAATAAAATAAATGCTTGGCTGTATTTTCCAGAAACACAACGATTGGCGACAATTTATATGCAGTTAGAATTCGACACGTTCAACCGTCTACAAAAATGGAAGAGGTTTTTTTCTTTCTTTTTAAAGGAAATATTAAAATGCACCAAATAATCTCATTAAGTTTGCTTATTAACTACAATATTTTCATCAACAACTTTATATATTTATTAGCTTTTTTAAATCGTCTGATTCAAATTATTCTTCGTTATTTCTTCGATTTACAAATAAAAACAAAAGTTAGAATGAACTCTAATTTCCAATAAAATTTCAAAACAAAGAAAGAGTTCATTGTTTTTCATTTCTGGATTGGAATAAAATTTTGATACAACAAAATTTCAAATGAAAACATAATTAAAACACGAAGCCTGAAACGTCTAACGATAAATTTACGAATTAGAGCAATATATTTTTTTCTTTATCAGTTTTTAACTATGAATTTTGCCGCATTTATTTTAATGCTGGTGCAAGAATTCAACTCTGCAAAGAAAAATTTATGCTATTTCGAATAATAGTGTTCTAAATAAGGCGTTCATAATCTTTTTAAGTTCAAATCTAATCATTTTAAACTAATAAATAATTATTCCGCAAGATTTAAAAAAAAAATTAATATGCATTAATGTCTCAATACGCATAAAAAAGAAGTATTTAAAAAGTCGTATTTTACATATATGAATCAAAAGAAAAGAAAAAAGTGAGAATCTGACAGATACTCATTTCTTAAAATTTAATTATAATTTAATTTTATGAAAAAATTGTTTTACGGCATACTTATTCTACATTGCAACAAGACCTTTTTAAGCGGCGTGGCAGATGGAACTGTCGAAGAGATGAAGTGAAAATTCTAAATAGATATATAAAATATATATCTAATAGATATTCTTTATAGATAACCTATTAGTCAAACGTTTCAGCTACCGATTCCAGGACTCTGAATCTTCAGACATAAAATCCTATACACTCAACAAAACTGTTTCTCCTTCATGGGACTAGTCACAAGGTGAAACTTCACGCAGGGGAAAGTTAAGCGATTTATACAAAACTGTGTCTGATACTGTAAACGCTATAAAAATTTTTATATAATTTCAGGTGTTAAGATATGACGAGCTGCCTATAACAGGATTGACTTTTTTAATAATATATATATATTTCTGTGTGTAGGTTTAAAAAGGCTTAATCATGGTGAACCACGAAAAAATTTATAAATGCAACTTTCAGCTAAATATAATGATAAATAGATTTTTGTTAGATGAATGAATCCGTGCTGCGGTTGCTCAGGGAATCGAGCTCCCACCTCTCAATGGGGGTGACCCAAGTTCGAATTCCAGAGGTGGCTCACTGAAAACAAATTCTGCTACCGACTTGCACTGACCACAGTGCTGAAATAAAATATCCTCAGTGGTAGACGGATCATGAACTAGAATCATCTTGTCAGCTGATTAACTGCGGGAGGTTTTCGTAGTTTTCCTCTCCATGTAACGCAAATGCGGGTTAGTTCCATCAAGACGTCCACAACGAAGGTTAATTTGATACTTGAACCAGGAATTCCCTTGTCTTCTGGGTTGGGTTCAAAAATACAGGGCTATGGAGTTGAACACTGATAATCGTAAACTCAGAACTGGATCGGCTGTTCAAAGCTGGTTATAAAATAAAATAAAATGAGTGCACCTTTCTCAGCCAATTGAAAATAAATCATCGCTAAATAATTCAAAATGAGCCTAAAATTCCATGCGAGCTCTCCGATTCTGCAAAAAGTGTTTAAAAAACTGTGCTTTTTAACACTGAAGGGAGCCGCGTGACTTAATGGTTAAGGCGTTGAACTGGCATAATTTATAAACGTCGTTGAATAGCTGATCCAATTTTTTGGATTTACGACTACTAATCTTCAACTCCGCAGGCTTGTAATTTTGAACCCAATCCAGAAGACAACAGAACTCTTGACTCAAGTAGTGAAAGAAATTTGCCTTTACGGAGGACTTTTTGATGGAACTAACCCGCATTTGTGTTACACGAAGAGGAAAACCACGAAAACCTCTCACGGTTAGCCAGAAGACAAAAGTACTATAACTCATGATCCGTTTACCACTGAGGATATTTTACGTCAGCATTGTGGTCGGTGCAAGCTGGATGCGGAATTCATATCGACCTGCCATCGCTGGGATTCGAACCAGGTTCACGTCTTTGGAAGGCAAACACTCTATTCCCTGAGTCATCAGGCACTGAACTGTCATAGAACTGGGGTTCGATCCCACTCAGCTTCAGATCGTTAGATACCAGCTTGTCTGAGAAATAAATGCGGCCTGTGCTCTGCGCTGACCACATTCCCAAAATCATGCCGTTGGTTTCAAAACTGAGGGGTCTTAATCATCGCGCCCCCCTAACTCATAACGGGGTGTTGTGGGTAAACTTTACTTAGCCAAAGGTTCATAAACTGATTTTAATTACAATATTTTTTAATATTTGTTGTAGTTAATTTACGTCGCATTAGAGCTGCAAAATGGGCTATTGGCGACGGTCTGGGAAACATCCCTGAAGATGATCCGAAGACATGCCATCACAATTCTGACCCCCTGCAGAGGGAATGGCACCCCCGCTTCGGTAGTCCGACGACCTGCACGCGAAGTCGAGCACTTTACGGTAGAACAGTTTAACGAGGACCAATACCGCACACCCTCGGTCCCTACGCAGACTGATCCAAGTGATCACCCACCCGCACACTGACCGTAGCCAGTGATACTTGACTTCGATGATCTGCTGGGAACCTACAATATTTTTTAATCAATGTGCACAGTGATCTAAAGTAATATTTTTTTTTTTTAAAAAAAAAGAGACCATGCCGAATAACTTTTGATCTAATAATCGTAAATTCACGTTCTAGGATTCAATCCTAATAATTCAAGGGGAATAAACATTCCTTTTTTTCCTATAGTGAAATAAGCAAAAAGTAAAAATAACATTAAGGGGTCAAACTTTAGAGCACTCTCCTGACAGAACTATTAGGACCATATTTCCCAGGTTTCGGCTACCCCCTACATTTTGGGGGGCAGAAATCCGAATCAGTCGAAAAAAGAACAACGTTTATTCAGAGAAAGTAAGTTTTGGTGCCTAATTTCGTAACTTAAAGTAGTATATTTAAGGTCACGACCTTGAACCATTTAGTCCTAGAACGTGAAGATCCGATCATTAGAACAAACGTTATTCAGGGTGGTCAGCTTTTGTTTNTTTTTTTTTTTTTTTTTTTTTTTTTTTTTTTTTTTTTTTTTTTTTTTTTTTTTTTTTTTTGCGCTCTGAATATTACAAAACTTAGCAACAATTTTCTGGTAAAAGCAAAAACTGAGAAGAGCTACTGTAAAGTAACTTACTAAAGAAGTACCTAATTTAATTAAAACGTGAAAATCCGATCATTAAATCAAAAATTATTCAAATTAATGCGCTTTTCTTTTTTTTTTTCTTTTTTGCTCACTGTTTTTATTTGAACATCATATTGAAACAATAATAAATAGGGATGTCCAAAGTCTTGAAAATTTGCCCGGTCCGGGTACCCAACATACATAGTGATTTTTTTTTTAATCCATTCGGTTTTGTGTACCAGGTAAAAAAAAATTTTCGTTCCTTCTCCCCGGCTGTTTCTAGGTACGCGGTAAAAATAAGATTTATTACCCGGCCGGTTATTACAGCATTTATGCAAAATAATAAAAAATTCATAAAATTTCTTTCGATTTTGAAAATTATAGTTTTATGTAAATTATAATAAACCTAGGATTTTATTCATATACACGTATATGAATAAAAACCTATGTATATTTTTTTATACGTTTTTGATGGAACAAATGTGCTTTCGCGTTACAGGGAGAGGAAAACCACGGAAATCTCCCACGGTAAGGGGACTCTAACCCATGATCCGTCAACCACTGAGGATATTTTACGTCAGCAGTGTGGTTGGTACGAGCCGGGAGCATAATTAGTTTTCAGAGAGCCATCGCTGGGATTCGAACCTGAGTCACCTCGATTAGGTTAAACTCTCTATCTTCTGAGACACCGTAACGCGTACTCATCCATTTGACAAAAATCCATTTATCATTACTTTTATTTTAAAGTTAACGATATATATATATAAATAAGGGTGATCTTAAATTTGCTAATTAATTAGCGCAGGCGACATGTTAGGCTACGAAATCAGACATAAAACGTACTTTTTCTGAATAAACATACCTTTTTTAGACGGATTCGGGTTTTCGATCCCCAAGGTTAAGGGGGTAGCCGCAGTCCAGGAAATATGATCTTAATAGTTAGGTCATGAGAGCCGTCCAAAGTTTCGACCCCTTAATGTTAATTTTACATTTTTGCGTATTTCGTTCTGAACTAAGCGAATTGAAAACTTTTTGCATCCAATTATATAATTCGTTATTTCATGCAAAAAATAATTTTTAATAATTACTTAAAATAGTCGAAAAACTTTCAAATTTTATGGAATACAATTTTGTACAATAATCTTGTTGTTGTTGTAGTTCGCTTACGCCGCACTAGAGCTGCACAATGGGCTATTGGTGACGGTCTGGGAAACATCCCTGAGGATGATCCGAAGACATGCCATCACAATTTTGATCCTCTGCAGAGGGGATGGCAACCCCGCTCCGGTAGCCCGACGTCCTGCATGCGAAGTCGAGCACTTTACGGTTGAACAGTTTAACGATCAATACCGCACACCCTCGGTCCCTACGCAGACTAATCCAAGTGGCCACCCACCCGCACACTGACGACCGCATCCAGCGATGTACAATAACGTGAAGAACGTAATTTTTGCATGACACGGAATTCAAAATTTCAGCACAATGGGCCAAATAGTTTCTGAAAAATCAAATCGTAAAAAAATTGTATTATTAAAATTCGATTTCTCAGTAACTATTCGACGTTTAACTGTAGATTTAACTTTTTTTTTTAAAAAAATTCAATATTTTTTAAAAATCCAATACAAAACACTAGCAATTTTATAAAATATCAATTTTTAACTACAACCATCGCTCTTCTAGTTGAATTTTGAAATATTTTAAACAACTGACTAATCAGATACAATTGTTTTATCTTCATTATTTTATGTTAAATCATTTCACCAAATAGAGAGTATATAAAAAAATTCCTCTC